TTTATTTATTTATTTATTTATTTATTTATTTATTTTTATTTTTTAAAAAAAGTAATGTGCGGATGCTATTAGGCGAGTCTCGGTCCTCTCTAGGTGTGCTAAATATTTAGGTGTCGCACTCTACATACCGGGGTTTCGAACTCATGACCTGAGGAGACTTACGACCTTCAGAGATGTTACTCTACCAACGGACTTTATATAGTTGGAGGCTATTACGAGCCTTAATGTGTCTAACAATTCGAATACATCTAAAATTTCATTAATAACCTATAATTTTTTTATTAATTCAATTAGTTGGGATCACAATAGAATGGAATAAAGTGCAAAACAAACTGTGGTTATTTATATGAAATTATTTTAGTTCTAGAGTTTATATATGTAGTATCATAGATCTGGAAGGTGGTACACCCTGGCAAAGCAGGGCATTAGAAATTTATTTGAACCTATTTTGTAATTTTAAAGAAATACTTGCATTGCAAAATAAAAAAAAAGTAACTTTTATAAATACTTGAAATTTCAAATACAACTGGACTAAATATAAAAGCTAGTTGAATCAAAATAGAAATGATAACATATAGTGATATAACAACTACTCAGACCCAACAAAGAAAAATACAATAGCTAAAAAAATTAATGATGAAAATACCCAAACTAAGAAACTAAAACTAAAAAACTGACTCCTATGGAGACGATCCTACTGGTGGTTGAATGGAACAAGTTTTGCAAAAATTAATAATGAGTTTAACAAACTCAGTAAATAACAGTTATCTATTAAAGTATAAACGGCAAGGGGAATGGGAAATACAGCATGAACAAGTAATGAAAAACCACTAGGTGCATATGTAATGTTGAAGAACAAAAAAAATGGGGGGTAAATATCAAATATGCATATCATATAAAAACATGCAATCATTTTCTATTAAGTTTCTTATTATTATGTTTTTCATTTATATTTATACAATCAGCTTTAGTAGACACCCTAAAATTGGGAAGATCAAATACCAACCCAAGGAAACTTGGGAATTTTCTATAGAGTCGTCGCTCTGTGGACCCGTCGGCCCGACTAGCCAAAATCCAAAAGGGTTCTACGGACCAACATACCATCACACACAAAGCATGTCAGATTGTTTCCACATGTACAAAATATTAAAATTATGACATTTCATACAAGCTCGTGATATGACATGCAATTTCACAAAATGTAGAAAAAGAAAACAACATATTGTGGGATTAATAAATATGTAGAAAGTTAGCATCAATAATTTAAGACGGTTAGTGGTATCATCATGAACAACAATTAACACTTATGAAAAGTAAAAATTGAAATAATAAGGGCATGGCTGACAATCTATGCATCTACTACAATTAATAAGGATTAACGCCCCTAACTAAAAAGTGTACGTTTATCCCCTAATAAACAACAATTACCTACCTCGAGCCGATAATCACGACACTTCTATAAGTTTGATGGGTTGATCATCAACATACATCATTTAAATTATGGTTGCTCTTACGTTACCCAAGCATAACTTTTGTTACGCTTTTTGGTGTGTTTGTATGTTTATTGTGCATGAAATACAAGGGTGTTCTTCTGCGGTGTTTTGTGTCTATATATGCACACACACATGTACTAATAAAAGGGGGAGCTCATAATGATTTATAACATTTGATTGCAGGTGCTATTAGCTTCCTCAATTAGAATGCACGACATGTTTCATGTTGCATGACTTCCTCCACTAACATTTGTTTTCCTGCAGGTCGAGTCTTTTATTTTCTCTTTTATATGTATTTCATAGAGCCCTTAAGTCGAGTCAATATCAGAAATAAGGTACAGACATATGTTTCAGATCAGATGATGCATCAAACCACATGACGGGGATCAAGAGCGGCAGCCGGTGTCCTGTACCTTAAGTCTGAATTGTCTCTTATATAGATCTAGGACCGTACATGTATATCAGGAGTCCAATCGTTTTTCCTGTTTTCCTGGAATATGTTGCCGACCCAACGACATTTTGGGCTTCTTTTATAATTTTTTAGTGTTTTTTTTTTTTTGTATCTTGCATACATGAATTATTTTTATTGTTGATCTCTATGCATCTAGGATTCCACAAAAAAAATAATAATGTAGGCTCATTAAAAACCCTAAAATTATAAATTTTTCTACTTAAAAAAATTTTAAACAAAACATTCAAGATAATTAAAAATTATGATTAAAATATTCTACATTTTTAAAAATTGATTTTGCTTTCTTGCATGGCCTCCAGATCGGTTTTAAAACGGGTTGTATTGCATGGATATCACTCAAGTCATATTAATAAGGCAGCTACAATGATTAAGGACCGGTCTAAATAATTGCATTCATATTTGTATGTCCCGAGGATGAGCCCCCGTACTTGTCCAACCTAACTGACCCATCATACATTTTTACATAGGAGGTTGTCTAGTGCACTTATGTTGTTAGAAAGCTCCCTGACCCAAACAATGTGTAAGTCTTTTTGTTTTGAGCTTTTCCAGCTTTGCAGACGAACCTTCACTTCTCTTCCTTTCCCGAGACATCCTTGCCACTTTGGTATGTATAAGAGCCACGTCTCGAAGTTCCAACTGATAGTCATAGGATAGAGTTTCATTCCTCTGACCTTAGGGCCACCGAGGTCCCTCGTGGACGATGCAATTAAAAGATTGCTGATTAGGGATCTCAGGACGTGTTAGGTTGACCACCTTCGCGACTAGGCAGACTCAGGGTCCCAATGGTTTGGGATGAAGGGTATGTGGTACCCTGATCTAACTATCTCTACCTCTTAGGGATTACCCTCTCTTTCCTTTTACTACCTCTATTAAGCTCTATCGCTTCGGTTGACTTTATTGATAGCGTTTTGATGACCCGATGCCAGTGAGTCGTCGCCCCGTTTGAGATACGATGATTTTGTCATTTTCCCTTATGATTTGGACGTGCTTTGAAGCTTTGAGATACCCCTATCAAGATGATTATGGTTATTTCGTGGGCCTCCTATGTCGATAAGCTGCTACCTATTTGAGATGTGAGACTTGCTCTCTGCCCGATGGTTCAGCTAAAGCTTTGAAGCATATAAGCATTTCTACACAAAATAACATTCCCTTAATGACCTATTTTCACCAGGTATACAATAATAGACCGAAACTCTTTTTATCGAGAGTATTTTTTGGTATCTCCCAAGATGTAAATAACAAAGTGGGATGTGTCTCATTCGGAGCGCTCTTGACCACAAAACAAACATTTACTCCCGAATATCTGGTTATGAGTAGTCCATGTAGTTATTCTCTCATGAATATTTGTCCAAGGTGCCTCCACCCGATCTTATTTGGGCGGAAATGTTTTGACATATCATCGTGAGGTTTAACACACGTAGACTCTCCATGTTTCTCTTTTCTCTTATTTGTCAGCATTGTTGTATGTCTTTTCTTTTATGGTTTCCCTCTTCTCGTGATCATTTATATGATCAGGAAAAGAGATTTATTCAGAAAAGGGAAGTATACAATAATGGGCAATCTGACGACTTCTTAAAAAATAAAGAGAGAAAAAATAGAGGCGAAAATAAGATTAAGTCATTAAACCACTCTTGAAAGTTTTCTTGATATACTTAGAAGGTTAAGTGAATTTCAAATCTAGCAAGTCTATAATCGAATCGAGCTTCTCGACAAGATTAATCCAACGAGCCGAAGATTGTTCAATTCAAACATCATTTAAGCACTTAAATATCCACCAAACATCATCTGATTGAATGAAGTCCTTCAGACCGCCCGATCAAAGTGATTTATATTTCTGTATTCATTGCACCTATATCACTATAAATAGAACCCCACTTCTCTCATGAGAGGAGACTGGAGGCTTGAAAGAGAAATTAAAGCTATGAGAAGGAGCCGAAGTCCAGCACCACCCCTATCGCCTTCGATTACCGCCGACAGCCATTGACCACCACAAATCGTCGCCAATTACCGCGAACCACCTTCGACATTTTTCCATCACCACCGTCAATCACCACTGACTGGAAGCTGTCAGTCGACGTCGTAACTCGGAAAGCCTAACGATTCTTTCTCGTCTGTGAGATAATGAATCTCTGTAAGCATCAACCTATTGTAGATTTTTACATCTGGGGCATGCTACGTGTGTTTTTCTCTTTACAGATTTTCCACATAAAATCTTATACCTTATGGTGTCATTACTGTTTGCTTTCTTTTGCATTAGTATGAGTTGAATTATAGTGGAAGGTTAAGAAGATAATCCATTACTCCGCCCCCTGAATTTTCCAGCACGCATCAAGTTTGAAATAAAATATTTATAATTTTTTTTAAAATGAATAGCAAGCTAAATTTTAGATTTTTTGCATTATGAGAAATATAAGGTCAATTTTTTTTATAAAATATTATGGTTATTGCCATTGAATGATTTGTAATTGGTGCATCAAAAGCTTGCAACAGCCCAAGCGACCCGACCCGTCTTTGATGCCTTTCTTTTGTTAATGTACTGTGTCTTCTCTGGCTGCGTTGGACTCTCTCGTCAGTTGTTCCCATGGAGGCATGGCCTGCTTCCCAGTTCCCACAGACTCTCTTCTTTTTCGTACTCTTTTAAAATAAAAAGTGGCTTACTGGATTGATGAGTGTGCTGGAAATCCATGATATTGGAGGAGGCAGTGTCTCTCTTGTCGGCGAATTGGTTGGCTGGAAGTAAACGTCGGTTTGGGCTGTGATTTCAGCAGGGAAAAGTGGTTATTCCTCTGTGATTTGGATATGTTCTGAAGAAATGTAAGTATACAGTTTGATTTTTGTTGCGGCAGAGAATGCAAAGGTTTTGATCGATTGAGGAGCCTGTAGCATTGGCGGTGAGCTTAGAAATCCGATCGAAGGAATATATTGTGTTTCTTTGTTGGACTTTGATTAGTGCTGAAGATTTCCTTGCATATTTTTTGGATTTTGATATTCACGGATGAATAGATTTTGTATTTGAATCATGTCGAACTTTGGCGTCAATCTTACGATCTGGAGAAGTCGAATTCAGTGATAGATTAAGGAAAAGCAAAGGGGGGTGGGTCCAATGAACTTTGGGATGGAGAAGCAGAAGAGCTTTAAGTACAGGACTATGGAAAAGCAGAAGAGTTTTCTAGAAAGAAGGATCAAGGAAAGCCCTGGGAGGCGAGGAGATACAACGCTTCATCTTGCTGCGAGAGCTGGAAACGCCGTCGATGTTCGGAAAATTCTTTCAGATTGCGGTGATGTTCAATTAAAGGATGCGATATCTAAGCAGAATCAGGACGGGGAGACGGCGCTGTATGTTGCCTCGGAGAGAGGGCATGCTGAGGTGGTGCGCGAGATTCTGAAAGTCTCTGATGTTCAATCAGCTGCTATTAAGGCCAATAACAGCTTCGACGCCTTTCATATTGCCGCTAAGCTAGGCCATTGTGGTATGATTTATGGATCTATCATTTTTACTTTCAAATTTGCCTTCTTCTTTCGCTTTATCTCAGTTATATTGTAGTATTGATAGGACTTTAGATTCTACCTGTAGACCTTGACATTTATTCATCTCAGTAATATTATTCTAATTTTCTTCTGGCAAACGAATCAGGATGAGGTTAACTATCATTTATTTTTCTGCATGTCCGGGTGCTGATCAAATCAATATATATCTCAATGGTTAGGTTCACATTCAGTCAATCATATTTTGTAGACTTAGAAGTTGTGATTTGGATTAGAAATATTGTCATAATTTGTCCATACACAATACAGTTTAATCCACCAAAAAGAAGATATTGTAAATAATTTTTTTGTCGATCATATGTTTGACTTTTCCATTATTTTCTTTCTCGTTTAATTTTACTTAAAGTGTTACTTTCTGTTGAATCCAAAATTATCCTTTGAATTACATCCAAAGAATAGAGTGTAACATGGAAGAGAGAAGATCAGAGAGAGAAAGAGATAAGAGTGCTCAGTAGGTTAAAGCTTTCAGAGTTTGTACAGCTAATTCATTAGCCCCTTACTTTAAAAATAACTCTCATATTTATAGGCAAAGAGGAGTATAAATAGTAGAATTACTTGCTTGCTCCTATTTTAGTAGGGACACTAGAAGGTAATTTATATCAATCAAAAATCACATAAATCAAGCAACTGAATTAGGAGTTTCCTATAATTAGGAGCTTCCTTATTTAAATTATTTCCAAAATTTTCTCTTATGATTTATTTCTTTTAAATATACATATTCTCTCCTTATTTAGATTTGTAATATTTATTTGGTTACCTAATAATATTTATTAGGTTACCTAAAAGATATTGTACATACTATTATTTATTGGAATGAAAGCAAAGTAAAAAGTCATTCAACCTATTTTCTCAAAACTTGACATGATATCAGAGCAGTCTACTAATAATTTTTTATTTGTAGGACAAAAAACACCACTTTGTAATAAATGATTCAGAAAACGTTGTTTGGATGACCTAATCGTCTATGCCAGATGCAACAACTGAAGAAGCTAATGACACGGTCTGAGGGATGGAAAGTTATAATGAGAATAATTTGCTCACTTTAGGCTCATTCGCTATCACCTTCCCCGACACCTAATTTTTCACAATACAACCATCACGAGAGAATTATACATCACAGTTATTATCCACCATTTGACCAACAAAAAATAAGTATGTGGATAATTTAAGAGAAAGCAAGACATGTTGGAAATAGGAGTTAATATCACAAACTACCGTAATCGGAATATTATTTCCACCAGCAACCTAAATATGTTCAGTACCAGTATACGGATGTTGATTATGTAATAAATTAGATGTGTCGGTCATATGATTTGTGGTGCCAGAATCAACAAACCAAGAAGAATAAATAGAAGCAAAAGTCTTACTTTTCTCTTGAAGACTAAGAGCAGAAAAGACAGAGAATCATCTGTTGAACCATATTTGGTGAGAACAAATTGATTTTTACCAGCAGATGTGGATGTCAGAGCAAGATTATGAGAATCGGATATAGTAGCATTAAGAGCTTGTGGTTTGCGGTTTTGAGGCCGTGTAAGACACTTCTTAATAACATGTTCGTTTTTTTTGCAATAATTACAAAATTTTTTGCTACATTGACGAACAATATGTCCAAATTATTTGCAGTTGTAACACTGCTTTGTTTCCTTCCCTTGGGTATGAGCAGCATATGCAATATTAACTATTTTTGATGATCCACTAGTTGTACCGATAGCGGTTTATGTCGTCAATCTCTGTTCTTTGCGCAGTAATTCCCCAAAACATACATCCTAACAAGGAATCATATCTCTATTTAGCAACCCAACTCGAGCAGTTTCAAATTCAGGCCAGATTTACATAAAGAACTAATCGCGGCTTTTTACTTCATGAATAGCTTGAAGACAAGTTAAGCTCTTCTTTGATACCTAGCATAAATAATGCGAGAATATTCACTCCATAAATTTAGGAAGCCAAAATAATATTGTTACATTGAGAGATTACCTTTATTATAGTTACTCATATCAAGTTCAAATTGAAAGCGTTTTGCAGTATTATCTTGATTGTATATGCGTTTCAGCTCCTGTGGATTTTTTTGGATCTCTTGGCTTTCTATGGCTTTAGGTTGATTTTAATCAACGACTTTCTTGATAATCAACTTGTGAGCAACAATCTTGTTTAAAATGTCTTCAGAAACAACTATCAAATTTACAAGAAATAATTATGCAACACGAGAATTTCAGTTCAAGATGTTTTTGAAAGGGAATGAGCTTTGGGGGCATATTGATGAGAGACAAAGGATCTTGGTCAATGAGAGACAAAGGATGCTTGGATTTTTCTTGGATTTTGGGATCTATTGAGGCTCATAAGATGAACAATTTACGATCAGTTGAGACGACTAAAGAAATGTGGGAGAACTTGAAAAGTGTCATTAGTTTCTTGTTGACAAACTGATGCTTCTTGATTAGTCATCAATTTGACGGAGATATAAATCAATAATCACAGAAATCAGACAGCTGAATTTAGAGTTTCCAAATTTCTCTCTTCAAATTTATTTCTTTTAATTGTACATATTCCTCCTTATTTAGATTAGTAATATTTATTAGGTTACCTAAAGAGACTGTTACATACTATTATTTATTGGAATGAAAGCAAATAAAAAAGACATTTAACCTATTTTCTCAAAACTTGACAATTTAGTCATAAACAAATAATCAAACATGTAAATAAATAAAAGTCTTCAACTCGGCTCTTCACACTGTCCGTTCTCTTGTGATCGATAATCCTTGGATCGTGGAAGCCTGCTGACCCGACCAATAATTACACAAATATTTATACTCTCAAAGATTTGTAAAAAATTGTCCCAAATTATATTTAGCAGCTAGTGTGACTAAATAAAATGATTTAAAATATATAATAAGCCTTCACGCTAGGGGTACTACGTAAGTATACGTATCGTTTCAAGTAATATAGAGTTTTCTTTAAAAATCATAGTATTGATCCCACGTGGAAAGCTGTAACTCTTAATATTGACTTACAAAACCTCTATCTAAATTGCAGATAAATATGATAGGAGATATATGTCGAAATGTTTGCAAAAGATTAACACTAAATTTAAGCAAAAAGTAATAACAAAGTTTAAAAGTTTAATAAAGTTTAAAAGATTAATAAAATTTAAAAGTGAGTTTGAAGGTTATGAAAAGATCTTTCCCCTTGCTAAGAGATGTTAATCAGTATTGGATAATGAATGATTAAAAATATGAAATGATGCATTGTGACAAATAAGAGCATGACTATCCTTTACCCCCTCTCGGTGCTAGCAAAGAACATTGGCTAACCTAAAGTTTGTCTCTAGCTTGTGTAGTAGTGCTGAGTAGATTCTAGCCTCTCACTTTTAACCCACTGTCTCTCTATAAGACCTACTAGGGACCCTTAGATCCAAACTTAAAACCGAATTTATAAAATAATCTAGTCTGTCACCATAAAATTATCAATTATACGCCTATCAAAACTTATCTTCTTATCTATTTGCACTCTCCTTAAACGATCGCAACGGCTCTTTACAGAGTGAAGTGTGACATTCACAATATGGGTGAAATCATAGTCCTCCCGGGTCATTATATTTTTCAACAAATTTTAACTTCACAAGTGACCAATTTGCAAAGTCAATGAAGAATCGGTGGAAATGTCATATCAATTTTTAAAATAAAAAGAAATCTTTATAACCATTCTCATCCAACATGATTAATTCTCAAATGCAAGGAGAAAGAAATTAAACTACTTAAAATTCATGGAAATAAAACAAAAACACATGATTTGTATTGAAAATCAAGTCTTAACAACAAACACTTAAACACAAATACAAGATACCTTATGTATTCTCTGCGTGTAATTCCCGGAGTCTCCTTTAAATAATTCTCCAAACTCTTACTCACACATACACAAACACAAAAACAAAAGTAAATCTTCCTATAGCCTCTAACGTCTCCCCCCAAAAAGTCCTGTCCAAGTCCTCTTTTTCATCTAGAATTTGACCCAATAGTAGATCTCCGAAAATAACTAAAGGTTGTTTCAGGTACTTCTTTAAAATTCGACCAAATTTAATGCCTTCTAGAAAATTGGTTACTGGGGTGCTATGGCGCCCAGTTCGCTTGATAGATGGTGCTATGGCACCAAGGGTGGCGTGATGACGCCATACAAAATTATCCATTTTTGCTCAATTTTGTACTTTTTTTCTCTAAATGTTCATTTCATATACCTGAAACAAAAAACATGCAAAATATCTTCATTTAAAGTGTAATATCATAAAAAATATGCATAAAATGATCATGAAATATACACTAAAAATAAGTAATTTTCAGGTGGATCACCTACTTGGCAGACTCCGCTAGGTCTGGGTAGTCTGTGGACTCGAACTATTTGTTAGTCAACCAAATCTTCGCCCAGTCGGTATTGTAGGCCGATCGACTTCTTTGATCCATCAATCGACTTCTTTGATCCATCGATCGACTTTGGATCCTTCTCTTAAGGAACTGAGACAATGGGCCTTTTCGGTTCATTTATCGTGCATTTTGACCATCGGTGAGTCCTCTTTGACCATGCCTCTTTTGACTCGTTAGATTTCCACAAGGTTCGTGCTGAAGTATTTTTGATGTACTCTTTCATTTTCCCAACACAATGATTCATAGAAAATTTTCTGTATATTCCTTTTCATTTCTTAATTTACTCTATTTTTATTTGATTACCTTTCCCACCTTAAAATCTTAGGCCAACAAGGTTTTGTTTATGCTCATTAGAGGCCTTATCAGTTGGAAGCTAGCTTCACATGGTAGTGGATCTTCTTCTACTCTTGTATAGGGTTGTAAATCAGCTGAACTTGGGAGAGCCCAATTTTTTGTTAGTGTTCGATTAGTTTTTTTTGTTTTTTGTTTTTGTTTGTTTGAAATTGTTC